CTGAATCTTCAACCTGTAAACAGGGAAACCGTAGTTTGTCTTCATATTATTCAGCCCTTACCTCCATATGGAAAGAATTGGATCATTATTAGGCTATAGAGTGGAAACATGATGATGATGCTAAGGCCTACAGGAAGATGGTCTCTCAGCAACGTGTGTTTGCCTTCTTGTTGGGACTGAACCCTGCATATGAATCGTTGAGGGTTCATATCCTAGGAAGCAAAGAGTTGCCGACGGTTCACGAGGTATACTCCCTTGTTCAATCGGAAGAAAGCAGGTGGAGTGTGATGGTTACAGCTGAGGGGGAGCAACAAGTTGCTTTGGCTGCAATGAATAATAACTCCACGGGGAAGAAAAGTGACACTAAGAAGACTGATGATAAAGATAAGTTGTTATGTACCCACTGTCGGCGTTCACGGCATACACGTGACACTTGTTGGGACATCTACGGGAAACCCAAGTGGGCAGTGAAGAATCAAGAACAGGGTAAAAGTCAAGGTCAGAAGAAGATGAACACAGCACAAAATGCAGCACATGTGGCAACCCAAGATACTCAGGTTGCCGGTAGTACCTGGGACCACCCTAATAAGTTTGACCCCAAGGAAGATATAATGAATTCCTTCAGAGAGCACCTGGAATCTTATGGTAGGGCTTTGCGACAAATGGACAGCTCAGTCACTGGTACTCCCTCTACATCATTTGCATTTACTTCAGGTAAACGGCTTCTGCATTCCATGTCACTCCCACGGATTCCCCTTGGATCATTGACTCAGGGGCCTCCAACTACATGATCGGTAAGCCGAACTTGTTTCAGACTTATAGCCTTTTGTCAGGAAGGGATAGAGCGAGACTTGCAGATGGTTCTTTTTCCTCCATTGTAGGCCAAGGATCAATATCTCTTCCCCATGGCCTTAACCTGAATTGTGTATTGCATGTCCCTCAACTTCCTATAAATTTGCTTTCAATTAGTAGCATTACAAGCTCTTTAAACTGTAGTGTAACCTTTTTTGTTGACTCATGTGTTTTCCAGGACCTAACTTCTGGGAGGACGATTGGTAGAGGGAGCCTAGTGGATGGTGTCTACATTCTCGACAACAAAGCTGGTCTCTCGGTGTCATCCCCAGAGTCACATAGTCAGTCAAATAAGAGTCAATTTTTTTTGTGGCATAGTCGTTTAGGTCATG